AACTAAGGCAACAGCAGCTGAAGCTGAGTAGCATCAGCTTGTTGTTGAGCTGAAGTGGTGATAGCATCAAAGGAAATGGATGGGGATTTCTGAGATCAGAGCTGTTAGGGCCATTCATGATTTGTTGCCAGGCTGAAAGCTGCTGCAGAAGAGATCTGCCTGAGAAATGCTGATTAATAAGGTAATTGAGGTTTTCTATGAGCAAGAAAGAAAAAATGAAAATATGACTAAAAGAGTTCTTTTTGAAATGAACAACATTTTGAGATTGCAAATTCCAGACAATAGCAGCTATTGCTATGAAAGATTTCTATACGTGAGCAGCAAACCGCCAATCAAATAAGACTTTTTTTTTTTTTAATGTTTCTCTATAGGGAGGAAGGTCAGAAGGTCAGTCTCTCTCTCTCTCTCTCTCTCTTTTTCCAAGGGTAAATTTCCCACATGCTTGTTACCTTAATACAGAACCTTTACAATTTGTGTCTGCATCCATCTCTGCTTTCCTGGGAACCTTATTTGGTTTTATTCCAGATCAAACTTCATTAGGACAAGACCTACATGAAAGTGAAATCCATCCCCTAAACTACTGTAGTTCTGCTCTCAGGCTTTTCTTACCCCTGCTAGAACACCTGGACCTAATTTTCAGGGTTGCCTTGTTGAGTGGCACAAAGCTATTTGAAGTTTGCATGTGCCATAAGTTCCACCAGTTCTGAGTTGGAGCACTGGCATCTTCCTATTTATCCAAATAAATGTTTCATTTTAACCAATCTTTCCCCTCCCTCTTCCATACCAAAAAGACAGCCACAGTTCCTTGAGAGGCAGATTTATCTGTCCCCAGTTTTCCTTCACATTTAATTGGTCAGCACTTGAATTCTGTGTTCCAAGATCCTTTGGGTGAACCTGATCTTTTATTAGACCAACTTAAATAGCTGGAAAAAAATTTTTTAGCAAGCTTTCAGGTTTAAAAACCCTTCGTCACAACACACAGGTTCTTTTTTTGCTAACAGGGAAGTGAAAAGTTCTGAAACATCTGCACCTCAAAGTGAGACAATTTTTTAGTAAAAGAATCGAGTTCAGTATGACTACATTGTTTTTCTGCTCAATGTGGTGTGACTCAGCATCAGTTAATTACCCAATCAAGTAGGCTGGATTTCTCTTGTTTAATAAATGCTTCTACCCACTTCATAACCTCCCTAGACCTCCTTTTGTATGTGCCTAGCTTTTACCCTGTATATCCAATTACGCTTATACCCATCAGTGCCAGTACCGTTGCCACCTCTCCTGTGGAATGACACACTCCAGCAGTTAAGCCAGGACACTCAAATGCAGGAGATGCCCTACTTCTGTCCAGTGGTGTGATGACTTCTGGGTTAGAACATTCAAAAGGTCTTTAAAAAGATATGCTATTCTAAGCATGGCAAAACCTACAGGGACAAATAATCCCATTCACCCTTCTTTATCATCAGCGCTGGGGAGAGGGGCATAAAAGGTGGGGGCAGCAGATTGTGGACACTTCGAAGACACACATCTGATCTTACAAACCACTGTGTTTTTCTGTAAATAAATATGACACCCAAATAGGCCTATACTTATCAGCATGCATTTAGGAAAAGAAATCAGGTACATGGTAACCAAGAGGAAAGAAATTATAAATATGTCTAAAGATGCGAGGCAAAAAGGAAAAGCAGGAGACTTGCTCTTCAGTAAACCAACTACAGTTCGTAATTGGGTGGCTGGCTATAAATGGAATTGTGCATCATTGTTTCTCTTGAATTGGAAGATTCCTTACTGAAGATACAGGACCACTGAAGGAAGTAAGGCATCTGGTTGTTTTGTAATGAGAAGCAGGAATGCTCTTAATAATAAACAAACAGGACATTGTATGCCATCATCACAGGATGTCCTTCCTTCAGCCAACACACTGACTTGGATTGGAGGAAAAAAATTGACGAGCTCAGGGCTCGCTAATTACTATTCCAGTCCTCCTTCAATTACCAGCACACTCTTAAGTGAGCAGTCAAAATATTGTCGAACACGAGTTTCGTGCTGAAACATATTTTGTGTACTGTACAAACTTTGGCATGTAAAGTTTTTAAATGTGTGCCTTATTACATGTATTTAATGAGCTTCCCATGTTTTACCTGAAGGGCAGAGGAAGCTGCCACATAAGATAAGTGATATTTAATAAATATCAGTAAGAAGCAGTTTAAACAAGGAATTAACTTTGTAGTCTTCTCCTTTTGTAAGAAATCATCTACATCCTGAGATCTAGGATAATCTATACCCTTTATTTATTCTGTATCCTGAGATCCTTGAATTGTATTAGACAACATCCCGCAATTGTTCAGCTTTTTGTTAGAAGCTTCTAAGTAGCTGCTTTTTATATTTTGTAATCTGAATGTGGTTCTTTAATTGCTAGTTTAATGGCATCCCATTTTTTAATTAAGACAGACAGCAAAATCATGTAACTGTGTCCTTAAGACTCGCGGTTTAAAAAAGTGGCTGATGAATGGATTTGTAGTAGAAACTGGATAACGTATGACTAAGGTCATAGGTGGTGGTCTTGTGGTACTAAGGCTGGCTGTTAGGGAACGCTGATGTTCCTGTGAACCAACAGGGAAATTTGGGCAGAAAGAAAAAAAGAAAATTCCCCTCGGTTGGATCAGAGTTTCTGTGTTACAGGTATAGCCCCACCCCTGCAGCCGTGACTTTGAGTAAATCAGATGAGTGGCTAATAGGAAATCTGAAACAGGGAGGGGAAAGGAACAAGCTGTTTAGCTAACAGACTGAAAGTATTCTTGTAACACTCAGCCCTCCAGTGTTTCTGAGAGGCAAAAGCAGTAAGTGCAGCAGCACCTGTCTGACGGAGAACGAGCCAGTGAGCAAGCAAAGCGCAAGCCAGAAGACTTAACTCTCTAGGTGTGAGTCAGTCGTACTCTAAAACAGCAAGTGGAAGGAAGAAGAGATGTTTACTCTGTAGATATGAGTGAGACTTACATTAAACGCTGGGCTGCTGTTTGGAATTATTTGTGGACTCGACCTTGGTAAGGAGCACGATTCCTTTTTTTCTGGATCTAAAACTGACCTTATACTGTGTTCATCTGAACACTTGTTCAGATGAACAAGTGTTCATAGCAATAGGAATTCACTGCTAGGAATACATAGCAGTGTTTCTTCCTAGACTCTTCTGTTTAGTTTTGGAAAACCTAGTCTTGTAGTATTAACTCTTTCACTTCTAGATGTAACTGTCAGTTTACTTGAGTTTCACTATTAGTTTTTTTTCCTCCCTCTTCTCTTGACATTCAAATTCAGTAAGTATGTTAGCTGATAATTTTGCTATATGTTAGACCAAAGCATGAAGAAGTCTCTCACTACATCTTCAGTTCTTTAGATGTAGTGAGAGACTGCACTGTACAGCTGTCAAAAAAATTTGAGGCAGCAAAAATGGAGTAGACTTTGTTCTTGCAAGTATTCGACCCTCTCTAGGACATTCACTGGAATTCTAATGTGCCTCTACTTTGTCCAGAAAGGAAGTCTCAGTGGGGTCAATTGATGTTTTAACTGAGAATCAAACAGTGACAGAGTTCTTGATCCTTTTCCCCAGAAATTTCTCTCTCTCTCTCTCTCTTTCTCTCTTTTTATTGGGGTGGAGAGAAGAGGAACTGCAGGGTGAAATTCTATAGTAGCTGGATATTTTACAGGGAAAAAATGTTTTTAATTGGATTTGTATTTTACCCCTATCAGCTTAAAAAGAAGCTTTTAGTTTTGTGTATCCTCAAGGAACAAAATATGTTTTAATACCTGTTTGATCATTTGAAAGCATTTCTGTCTTGGAACAGGCAAGGACTCAGCAGAATTTTCTTACAGGGATTTATTTGATTTAGTCCTTCAAGCTTAAAGTTTTGAGATAGCATCAAGTCAAAGTCATATAAGAATTTTTTTTTTTTTTTTGTCCAAGGGAGTATGTTTCTGTGGTTTATGAAAGGCTGTTGCTCCACTGATGCTGGCAGGATGTAGACTTTCTCAGCCTTCTTTGCCAAAGGATAAGAGGACGTCAGGAGGGGGGCCAGGTTGTTTTGAAAGTTGTTTGTGTGTTGAAAGCTGGTGGGAAAGTTCAGGCTTCCCCATTTGGAAAAGGCAAGGCTGGGTTCCGCTCCTCCAGCATGCGCTTTCCATTTTTAGCTTCATTCAGACGCAGACAGCAGCTCCTTCCTCTTCCTCTCCTTGTTTGTGACACTTCTGAGGCAGCTTTTCCACAAGCACTAAGTGGTCCTGCGGCCATGACCCCACAGTCTCTTGGACATGGAATATTTTTTTCCCCCTTCCTCTCGTGAGGCATTAAGGAAAGGATCTGGAGAAAGGTAATGCAGTTGTCAGTCTCTGGGATTTTCCCCCATTCCACTGGATCCCTATTACTAAGGCTGGCATTTTAAGACATTGCTTCAGTCAAAGCAGCTTCACTTCTACTGCTTTTTTGGCTATTACTCAACAGTACCAGCTATCCTGCATACGCTTTTAAAGTGTCACAGACTACAGTATTAGTCACACCGTCTCAAAGGAAACCACAAAAACTGAAGGACAATGGGGATTAAAGATTGTTTTCTTCTTTTCCAGGCTGCCACACAGTGTAGCTCGGACTCTGTGAGTTTCAAACTGCTTGTAAAAGGGACAGACTGGACAATGAAAATGGACATGGAAGATGCTGACATGACTTTGTGGACAGAGGCTGATTTTGAAGAGAAGTGCACGTACATCGTAAATGATCACCCATGGGATCCTAGCACTGATGGAGGCAACGTAACTCAGGCAGAGGCTTCCTTGCCAAGGAACTTGACTTTCAAATATGCATCAAACTGTAAAGAGGTAAGCAGCAGTTTGCTGGGGAAGGTTAGGGCTAGCCAGCCAATTCACAGTGCTTTGAAGAATAACTAGCTCACACTTCTATTCCGTGACTTTGAAGAAAGATCCTTTTATTCATTAAGAAATTGAAAACTAATCGTCTATCACTTGATACTTGCATTACTTTGTAACCCATCCCTAAAACTTACTCCATACCAAATTGCAAAGATTATACAATTTGCTTAAGTCAGTGTGTGTCCAAATATGCATGTTTAAAGTATAGGGCAATCTTTTGTGCCAGTTTTTAGATTTCTTTTTCCTAGTCCACTCATTGCCTCTGGCCGAGAGATTTGAAGTTTCTCAGTGTACAATAAATAGCTTTAAAAAGAAAGAAAGAAATTCCTGGATCTGAATTTAATTATTTCTGGTTTTTGGTTATGAAATTGCTTTACCCTTCACATGAGCTTGCTTTACTTTAACTTCCTAAAATCTCAAAACACTTGCTTATCTATTAAATAAAGTAGTAGTAAAACTGGCAAGAATCACATAACAAATTGTCTCCATGACTTACTCTAGTTGTTGTTTATCTGGGTCAGTATCTTTTACTCGTAGCTGGACATTCAAGTATATTTTATGCCTGCCTCTGGAGCGGGTATGTGTCTTTGTTGTTTCAGAAGGGCTGGGGAGAAAAAAAAGAGCCTGGATGAGCAATTACTTGTGTGTTTACTTCTTCACATACAATAGCTATTATCGCTAGGTGTGATGTTCAACAGGGTAGTAATCCTAGGGACAACCCTTCATTTCTCCTTGCATTGTGACTTTTGGTATGGCAGCTATTACCTGTGCTGCTGCTCTGGCTAAATGCACTGACCACAGATCTGAAATGGAATTTAAGCACATTCTTCTCTCTCTCATGTATCCTCCTAAAACAAGTGCCATGGTGCTACATCTATTATTTCAGTCCCATGTACAGAAATTTGAGCTGAGTTCCAGTGGCATAGCTGTATTTGTGTATGAAGTGGCATAGCTGCATTTGGTCCTACAGTACCCTGTAGAACATACAGTGATTTGGGATCAGGATAAGATCAAACATCCATGTGAAATCTTACCCTCCTTCCCCTACTGAATGGAGGAATGTTAAAAAAAAAAAAAAAAAAAAAAAAAGATTGAAAATGCAAATAACTTGTTTTGTTTTGTGAGTTAAACATTGTGTAATACTATGCAATATTATGATCCATACTTTTTAAACACTCTCTCTTTGTTGATGACACTGAACGTGTAGCAAGACAATTTACTTAACTACTAGACAGATAGCCAGTAACATGTTGGCTCCTCCAGTTCTTTGCTTTGTTACCTCCATGTAATATTGTGGCCACAATAAGAGAAGTTGGAGAAACTTTATAAATTCCCTGCGGTGTATTAGGAAACACCAGTGTGTAGGAGTTGATGATAATTTTCTTACACTAGTGCTCAGCTCTGTAAATTGGCTTAGGATTGTTACGAGCTTTGAAGTATTTTTTTTTTTTTATAGTTGTTGAACAGTTTCCAATTTCTTCTTAAAATATAACCAATCTAGATCCTTTGCTAGAGGGAGCCTCAGTATAGAACATCCTTCTTTTGTTCCCCATTCTGCTGTATTTGTGCTGAGCAGCACATGTAGTAAGAAAAAGGAGGAACTTTTGACTTCTTTCATTTTAATCTACTGATACTGTAGTCCCCTTCTATTAAAGCCATAGAATTAAATGTATAGGAATGTCTTCTTGACTTGTCAAGAAAGTAAAATAATTGCATAGCACATTCCTTATTACTTTCATCATGGCCACTTTTAGACTCTGAATCTATTTTTTTTTTCTGTCTCATTTTAAGTGCTTGCTTTGTCCTGCTGCCAATTTTAATAACATGGCTTGTGTGCCTAAGTGTTCACAGGATCAAACCCAAGCAGTGAGAGGGAGGAAGCAAGATAAAGGGAGCTTGACTCTGATCTTACTGCGGTGTAAAACCAGCATAACTCTAATAGCTGTTCTTGATTTGAAAAGGGGCGAGATAAGAATTGGGTTCTGTGTGGGTGGGTGTTTCAATGCATATGCATGCGTCTAAATTGTATTCCTTGTTAATTTTGGGGAAATAATTGTGGCTTCATTTTGTGGAAAGATTGGAATTCTTGAGTCAATGTATTGCCAAAAAGTCGACAGTAGATGGCTTGTGAAATACCAATGGTATCAGGATTAGATGTGTGTTTCGTGTTGGATGTCTCATGGGAGTAGGAATACTACTGTGGTGTGTGCATGTTTTGGTTTTGTTTTCTTAGCATGAATCTTTTAGCTTTGCTAATCCCGTAACTCCTCTCAAAGATTTATTGAAACAGCAAGAGATTCCATGACACATCATGCTCTTGTTTGTTCTTGGACTTTGCTGGGGGATTTTTCTGAAGGACACATTTTTCATTATGAACTCACAATATGCATCAGCATTTTTTTTTTTTTATGAATTGCTTCTGCTCTTAACATTTGAGGCTGTTAGATTTACTTGAAGGGTGCTATATTTTTTTTTTAAATATGTCAGGTCACTTTTGCTTCATTTTGGTGCTTAATGAAAGCTGTATGAAAGACAGTGATAAAAAATGTACTTTACAATAATAGATGTGAATAATCTTTTTACATCAATATTTTCAAGCAGCTTTTCAAGGAATTTCCTTTCTCCTCCATCTGCTCAAAATCTCAGCAACACTTCTTAGTATAGGATACTGCCTAGATATTTGGGATCCTAACACACCACTTATCCTGTCCTTTCAAATGCACATAGAGAAGTGTAAGTGTTGAAAACCCATTACTTGTAGTATTAGATTCTGTATGCAGTCCTTTCTGTAATAAGGCTTCTCCTGACAGGGACTAGCATTAGACTAATACTGTTAATAAAGTATAGCTTGCTAACTTCACACACGCCTTTTTTTAGAGAGAATTCTCTGAAGCCATTTTGTTTCCTCCTTAATTATGTATAGTAGAAATAAATCTGAACACCCCTTTAAAAAGTAAATGACAGGTTGCAGAACTTGATTCAGCCTCGGCTTTCTTCTAGTCGATTTGGTAGAAATGTTCAGTTTTGTTTCATACAAACAAGAATCAGTTCTGTGGAACTGAGATAAATATATGACTAGTAATTGAAAGAAAATAACTCAGCCCCAACACACAGGATACCCACTCCAGATTTATCTTTGGAAAATGTTGTTGTGCTTAAAATAGAGTGTAAAAAGAGGGTGAAAAATACAGTTCATTAGCTTCATTTACATGGGCTTCCTTTCCTCAGAACTGATATTCATTATTGTCCAGTTCTCTCTGCCACTGATAAGCATTTATATTTCTTTATTCCTTTTTTAATATCAAAACAAGAACCTAAGGAATACTGTTTTTTGTCTGGGAGTCATGACTTGTCAGGATGTGCTCTGTGACCCAGCCTGCTGACAGAGACAGATACGCTGAAATGGCAGGGGGGGCAGTGCTGCCCATAACGCATCCAGTGGAATGGCTTCTGTGGGGGTAGATGAAGCATGAAAGTGTTGAAGCTTTTCAACTTCTCACTGATGTGTTTATAGAAGGCATACAGCAGCCTTGCCCCAGCAGTAATTCATTAGGACCCTGGTCAGTTCCAGTGGTGTTTCCTTCCTGGGTTAGGTGAACACTGCATTTTAATAGGCTTTTGAACATACTTGAGCTCAAGCAGAGTAGAAAAGCAGTTCTTTGACTTACACACATGCAGTACCAGTCAAAATAGTGCAGCGGTTTCATTACCTATAAGATCGGACCTGACCATTGGAGACTGCACAGCTTGCTACATGCAGTGAAGCAGTTGCCTCACCCTAAATGCCAAAAACATGGTTCTTTTAGCTTGAATGGATAGTGTTCATTTTGTCATACACCAAGTATGCCAGAAGTATTTGAACTCTTTTAGCCCTGTAGTACCATGTCTTATGCATGTCATGGAGATGCTACCACAGTTGCCATGATTTGGGTTTTTTACTATTATCGTAGAAGTATTGTTTTTCTGAGAATGGAAATAAGTATCAACTGCCAGACTGTTTGCGGCAGTACTAAGAAAGCTCTGGTGCTAAAAGAAAGAAAATAAAATATGTATAAATACATGAAAGAACTTATTTTGAAAATGTTTTCTTTATTACAAAGTTCCACATTTAAGAGCCAAAGATAAAAGAAATTCCTTAAATGTTTCTAGAAGCCATTAATTTGTGAAGAAAGAGCCCATTATCAGACTAATGTTCATCCACAAAATGTGGTGACTACATAGAGTATCATCGTCATGTGGAAGAGTGTGCTGAAGGACACCTTGTGGACAGAAGTTTGAAATGCTTGCTCTGAGTGTGCTTTTTAGCAGCTAAGGCCCAACTTCCTTTTTGCATTAGTTCTGCAGAATTTTTGTTGTTTGTGAACAGTCCTAGGTAACCTTGATTGCCAACAGCCATCAAGCACAGTTACTAACTCCCACTGAGCTATACCCTGACAAGAGTCTCCTTGACCTTGCGTATGGTATGGGAGCAGCTTCCTGCCTGACCTGAGATCTAGAACTGAGTTGTCTTTGTAATGCAAGTGTGTACCTCAGCTGACTTATGATTCTCAGTTTAATGCTACTTATAACTATTGAGTCTCTAAAGACACACAATGTATAATAATAGATACTCTAATCAGAAACCATAGCAAGTAAAATGGGAATAAACAAGTTTAGTCAGAGTTTGAAACATGCACACAGAAACTACTAAAATGTAGTTTACTAAACTACCTTCAGAAAACAACTATCAGATAATAATATAAATGTTTCAGGTACTGGGGAAGAATCAAATATTGTATACAATAAATATCAAAAAGCATCAGCTGGAACTGAGAAGCCAGTACAGCAAATGGTTCAAGCAGTAGTGATTTCTGAACATATCTTAATTGAGACCAAAATATTTTAAAACTGGGAATGAGTTAAAAGATACCTTACAGTTAAACTGCTAGGATGTTTTATGCTTTGGCTGTGAACTTTTATTGAAAGGGCAGATAGATGTAAATGAAGATATATGGGGAAGATGAAAAGAACATCTGCCTTTTTCAGCTCTCTATGAGAAATGTAGAAGCAGGACAAAAATAAAACTGGGCCACTGAACATGTTTCAACTTGTGGTAGGTGTAGGAAAATTTCTGGACATCCCTTTTCTCTTTTTCCCCAGTCCAGATGCACAAATCAATGGAGCATTTAGTTGTATTGACTGCTATTTTTTTTTAATGTAAACCATAAACATATGCAAATATGTACAGCACTCCTCCTGTTAATGGATTCTCTTCTTAACTCTACATCAGTTTCTTCTCATTTTGATTTTGTCATTTTAAATACAGTTTTGCTAAGAAATTGTCTATGTTGTCAGTTACAAACCAAGTGAACCATCTTGGGCATGTTTATGTATAGGCAGTATGCAGTAAAACCTGAATTCTTATTTCGCTAATACACAAAGCAGTCTCTCTTCCCTCTGTCTCACTCGCACACACAAGTTTAGCTCCAGTTCTCGATCAGTATTTACAATGAAAGCTCTCTTTGGATAATAGTAACTAGTATACAGCAAAGTACCCCAAATACATTCTTACTCACAAATGGTGATGGCTTTTAATTAGTTTTGTTAATTGTGCTTTTTTCTTGATAATTCACAAGTTAGGAATCTCCACAGGCACTCAATAATTAGTTCAAATCATTAAATTCTACTATAATTGTATTGTTCCATGAGTCTAGCTTGGCATAATGAGAATTATTATCTAATAAGGACCAAGAGTGGGATGTGATAGTTTTACCATGACAGTTTAGTAAGGTTAACCAACCTAATGATATTTTTACTCCCCTCCATACTTGAGCTGTAATATCAGTCTTATGAAGTCTTGATTTTTGGTTTACAGAATTACTCTTTTTATAGCACATTGTTTAAACACAAGAAAAATAAGAGGGCTGGTGGGGAAAGGGAAGAGACAAAACCAATAACTCAGCAGTGTGTTGTAAAGGGTTACTCAAAGGCACGTTCTTCTGAATAATGATGAATTGCTTCCTGATTTGTGGTCAGTGACTTTTTGAGTATAATTACTGTCAAGGAGGAAGCTGAACAACCGGTATACGTATCTTACATTTGGTATGCCAGAGCATTTTCACCAAAAACTTATGCCTTCTGCTTGATCAAACCAGTTTAACCTTTATTACTGGAACTTCTGTCTCAGTTTTAAAGAAGGTAATCTGTGAGTACCTGCTCCAAAAGTCATTCATATTGTTTGTAGCTTTAAGTTGCATGTTAATAGAAGAATTGTAGATTTTGGTTGGTTTCCTTGTTGACATTGGAAAGGGTACCAGTGTAAAGTAAAAGTTTCACTTTGATCTAGGAGAGGAGAATGCACTGAATATGTTTAGGAAACCACCAGACATGGCTACACACCAACAGACAGTTAATTGTTAGTGAATATTACTGGTTCTTGTGACTGACACTGACCTTTGGGGAAAAGTTACAGATATAAGGATGGGGAGGCAATGCTAGTACCAATAGATTACATGCTGGTACCTTGCTGTTCTTTTAACTGTGACATATTTAACCCTCTTTTTTTAAATAGGGGGAGGGGGAGAGGGGAAATCATTTTGGTGATACTGGCTTATAAAAAATTTGGTTAATTCAGTGTGTGGTAACACATATCTCCAAGCACTTTGCTTGTTTCTTCTTCTTCTTCTTTCTCTTTCTAACACACACACACACACACACACACACACACTTCCAAAAGGGCAGTTATACCTAATTATGCTCCCCCACTTTTCTTAATTACTTTCCTCCATATCTTTCAGTAAAGTATGAAGTACCTTGGCAGAGGTTTTATATATGCTCTTAACATGGTTGGGTGTTTCTGTTTTGCTGACTTCTCATTGCCATTATGTTGTGCTTTGGGGTTTCTCTCATAAGAACAGGAGAAGTTATGCTTTTTTTTTCTCTTGAAGATGGGCTGATCCCATGCTCTTCTTCTTGTAGGTTACTGGAGTTATAAGCAAAGAGTACATCCCAAAAGGAACACGCTTTGGACCCCTGGTAGGAGAGATCTATACCACCGATACAGTTCCCAAGAATGCAAACAGAAAATACTTTTGGCGGGTAAGCAAGGGAAAAAACACACACAGTTCCATGTTGATGCAGTAAATAGATCACTAAATGAGTACAGCTGAAAAGCTGGGTCACTTCCTGTTTCAGAACCGTTTGAGTGCAGGGGGCTATTTCTTTGCTCTAGATGAACTGAAATCTGAGTGAACGTGGTAAACTAAGCTGAGTAAATGTCTGGCACTCTTGGAAATGGGGACAGCGTGGGTGGAAAGTAAGGGAGATACACAACTGTTCTTGACTTTGCCTTCTGAAACACATCAGTGCTTGATCATATGAAGAAATAGCAGTTTTGCTTGCTGTAAGACTAGGTCAGTTTGCATTTCCACATAGGGAAACCAGGGATCCTTAAAGACTGAGCACATCCCATAGCCTTGATTTTATTTATTTATTTTTATTGTTTAATTTTTTCTAGCTGATAAGTACTTGAAAACAAATGACAGGCTAGAAAGTATTATGTGATCTTTTCTCTGCAATTTTAAAATCTTCTGAAAGTGTTTTTTACATTGAGCAGTTGAAATAGTGTTGATCTCTTCAATGCATGTAGTTTAAATTGCAGACCTTTCTAAAGCTAGCTGAGAAAATGCTAGGATAAGTGACTATATGTCATGGGAGTGGCAGCACCTTGAGAATGGAAGGGGGAGGTGTTAGTATGATGTTACTGAGCGATCACAAATCAGGGCAAGGGGGTATAGAGTATAAGCCTCTCTCTGGAGCCTGAAAGGTGTGTGTTGCTAAGGTAGGCAACCTGAGGAGTCAAGATATTCTTTCCCCCTGCCTCCCAACTTGTTACCCTCCACCAGTCTGCTAGCCCTAACTTGGAGGGTGGGACAGGGAATATATATATGGTTCCTTTCTTCTCCTTTTTATCAGGAAACCTGAATGAACTTTAATCCCTCAACCTCCTCCACAAACATGTTACCACTCCTAAGTACATCACTGATTTGTGTCCTAACTCCCTCCACTGACTTTGTTGCCCTCCAGTCACAGAGAAGGCATATTACAGCAGTTTGGTAAAAGGGTGGGTGGGAAAAGCGACTTTTACACTGAATCAATTAAGTAATTGCCTCATTTCAGTGTTCTTACATTTTCTCTAATGCAACGTTACATGGGTGACATGATTCACAAGGTGCTCAGGTGTTTCACTTTTGTGACCAAGATTTTAGGCCTAACAGAGGGGAGAGGCATGCTTGCCTAACTAGGCCAGGTGGGAATAATTCAGCAAATCTTGAGAGAGGGTTTTAACTAGCTTGCAGAATTCTGTAAGAAAGCAAATGCCTTTTTTGGTGAGAGGACTGTAAGTCTGAATGTAAAAGCCTTTTGGGGAAACGATATAGCAGCCTTCTAAGCATTACTAAACCTACTGTTATAATCTCTTGATTCATTCAAGACACATTGCTGTAAGTCAGATGAATTCCTTCCTAAGGGCCTGAAACAGCCTTGTACATTCAAGGAAATTGTGGGAGATAGCTTCCCACATGTTACAAAAGGAATCCTGATTTTGCTGGCAGGAATAGAAACATCTGCTGTGTGTGAACATAAATGTTCCATGCAAATGACATAGTTGAGTAGAAGGGATATGAAAGCTGTGCAAACCCCGGAGTGACATCATTTCTTGTAACTGTATGATGACTCAGCACATTTAATCTTCTTGATAATACATGGAAATCTGGTGAGATGGCAGAATTCAGTTTTGTGTGGGTGTGGGGGCGTGTGACCTCATAGGTTTGATGTGTGTGTGTTGGGTTTTTTTTTTTTGTTTAAGAAAAAAAAAAAAGTAGTACAGTAAATTGTACTATCTATGGAAGGGTGACTGGAAACCATTCAGTGCAGCTTTAGAAAGCAGCTTCCGTCTCTAGTAGAAGTGCAGAGCAATGGAACCCCAAGTTCCTGGAAGTTTGCAATTCGGAGTAAACAAAGAAACTTGAAAACTCCTCTTGATAGCAGAATTCACCCGGCTCTGTTCCATTTTCTCATAACAAACACACCGCAAAATCTCTCACAAGCTTCTTTGATGAAGCCACATGTATTTCCCCCTTCTCAATTTACAGGAAGTTACTCTTAAAAGAAAGTGATTCTGGTGTTTACTGCTTGCATTAAAGGGCCAGTCTGCCTTTTTTCTTTTTTCTTTCTTTTTTTTTTTTTAACTTCTCAATTGAACTGCTGCCATTCAAAAGAAAAAAGAAAGTAGTATGAGCACAAAGACCAGGATAGGCCCCAGAGTGTTTTCACATTCAGATAAAATGTGCCTGCTGTTCTTTATAGATCCAAATCACTCACAACCTCAGACTCTACTTTTACCTGATCATTTAGTGTGTAACTCTGGAATTCTTCAGTGGACGAACTGCACGTAGTAGATGCTGAATTTAATTCTTTCCAAGAATATAGCATTTTAGTTCTAAAGGATATATTTGTCAAGTTCATTAGATTATTAATGTTCATATTCTTACTGCTTTAAGATAACCTAATGCAGAGAGTGAGGATGTTTTTTCCTCTTCTGTATTGCCAAGAAGTTTTCATTTAAAAATGTACAAGCATGGGCATGTCCATTGAGAGGAAAAGTGACTTCTCATAGACTGTCAAATGCTGGCCCCTTTCCAGGTCTTCACTTAGTTATGGCAGGTGAAGTTCATCTTTGCCCCACCCAACCTTTCTACAAAAGGGCTACATTCCAAGTATGAGCAAGTGTTACTTTAGGACTTGGGGGGGTGGAGGATGTTTGCATAGTTTAAGCCTCTGAGCGGGGGTGGTAGGAAACTGCAAGCACAGAGGCCATAGAAAAAGCTGAGAAAGAGACTGACGTAGCTTAGTCAGTCTTATACACAGGTGACTCAAAGCATTAATACAAGCACGCACTCAAACCTGCAGTCATTAGTATCACCTACTTGTTGATCATAGCAGCAGAAAAGGAACTCCAAGGTAGACTGCTAATGCAGAGAGAGCTCTTAATTCCAAATTGTCTCTTTCGTTTGTATGCTTTAACTGGGCGACACATTGACTAAACAGAAATGAAAAAGGTAACCAAGTGCATCTATCCTCTAGAGTAAGCTTTATTTTTCTTAATGAGAGGGATGCCTTAGGGAAAGGTCACCCACCTTTTTACAGGTGAATATTGGTACCTGTATCTGTTGTCCTTTACAGTGCATACTTAATGTATGTGCATGTGCGTATATACACTCCATTCAATGTATATAGATATTCATATGCACTTCCTTTCTCTTCCAGATCTATTCCAGTGGTGAGCTTCACCACTTCATTGATGGATTTAATGAGGACAAGAGCAACTGGATGCGCTATGTGAATCCAGGCCATTCTGTTCAGGAACAGAACTTGGCTGCTTGTCAAAATGGAATGAACATCTACTTCTACACCATCAAGCCCATCCCTGCCAACCAAGAACTACTTGTGTGGTATTGTCGAGACTTTGCAGAGAGACTTCACTATCCTTCCTCCGGAGAGCTGACGATGATGAATCTCAGTAAGTGGATTACAGTATAAACAAAGAATGCTAGTAATGTCTCTTCTGCCTGTATGATCTAATAATATGTTATATAATTATATAGCTTCATCATCTGTTGTGTCACAGTAGGTGGCTTAGAGTGGAAAGAGGGAATTAAAAAATTCCCTGTGTCTATTTAAGTATAAACAGATTATTAAAAATTTAAACAGTTATTGGTTTATAATCTTAGAATTATCAGATAAAATCCTACACAAATACCTCAACAACTTCTCTCTTAAAAATCAATACCTATGATTCATACTATACCCTAGATGTTCCCACTTTCATGGTATATTAAAAAGTCTGCTTTGAAAATGCAGATGTGTATTCAGATTCCAAATGGACTGTCCTTACTGTGTGAAGATCTGGACATTGGTCATGTACATGTCATCCAAATTTTTTATAGTTTTTCCTCAGGTCTTTCACATTTTCAACATCTTTTCTCAAATTCTTGAAGAATTCTATAGGACCCACAAAGATACAGCATGTAGTTCGTGAACTATTTACCGAAGCACTGAATGTGACTTTGCAAATGATGCTTCTCATTAGATGGATTCGTATACCAGCACTAATTCAGCTGGCAGGTCCTTTTAGTTTTGCTCTTCCTTTTTCTCAGTCACCACATCTTGTACATTTTTAAACTTGGCAGATAACCACCCACCATATCTTCAACTTACATGAGAAAGCTCAATAGATACAGTGACTTTTGCTTTAGGGACAGTATCCAAGCTGAGATAAAATCCAGGTGGCCTGATCCTGGATTGTTACAATCCTGAACAAGCTATTGACTTTGCATTAGAAGCCAGGGCTTTCCTTCTTCACTGGGTTACAATGTTGGGCTTCCTCTCAGGCTCAAGGAATTTTGAATTATTTTCTGTAATGTGGCACAGGCTCAACAAGAGTGATGGAGATTTTCCACTATCTTGAACCAGTGTAGCCTTAGCTGTAGTGGTCTGGGTGCTCTTCTGGGAGATAGGAGATGTGGGTTTGGACAACTTCAGGCTGAAATGGGCATAGAAACAAGGTCTCCCTCATGCTAGGCAGGTGCTGTAACTACTGAATTATTGTATTAAAGCAGGGTTTGCTTGCAGAACCACTGGATCTGGTCCAGGCAGCCACAGAACTTTGCCTGCACCCATGCCAAAGCTGGGCAAGGAGTTGCAGCAGAGCTGGACAGTGAAAAGCTGCACATGGACTTCTCCCCATTCCCTGCTCCCCACCTGTGAGTTTCTGCACTGGGGCTGGGCAGCTTCCAACTAGTCTGTCATGGGGAGAAGCAGCAGCAGTGCAGACACAGCTTCTAGCTGCCCAGCCCTGGCTCAGTCCCCACCACCTGGAAGCTGTGCTAACACCACAGCTGGAGAACTGGGGGTGGAGAAGTATCAGCAGCATGGTTGCAGCTTCCAGGTGCCTGGCCCCTGCAGAGTAAAGTCCCCTGCCACTGATGCACCACTGAAGCTTCCCAGCCCACACAGAACCAGAGCTGGGTTGTTCCAGCCCAAGGCTTTTAAAGCTTGTCAGGTGCTCCTTTATGAAAGGAGGATGAAACCACTGACCTCTCTTTCTACAGCTGTGTTTATGAAAGAAATGGCACAAACATGATTATTTGTGTAGAGCTGATGCATGTTAGGCATACTCAGAGCACTTCTATTGGCTCAGATCCTCCTGGAAAATTTAAGCAGAGACGCACCTAGAGTGGGGATCCCATCAGGCCTAAGATAGGGCAGAGCAAGTTAGTTAGGTGTAGCTACACAAGTAATTAATGTGATAAAATCAACTTCAGCGCAGTTCGTGCTGGAGTCACCTGCTCCCAGGCACAGCGTTTTCATGTGTGCCTGGGACTGCAGCAGTTACAGCCAGGGCAGAGCAGCCTCCGACTGGCAGGGAGCTTAGAGGGTCAGCCCTGGCTTCGGGCAGTAGCATCAGGCACAAAGGTGTTATAGTGCAGGACTAGCTAGCAGGCACCTCCACACTTTAGCACCCTCATGCCCCAGCCAACCCCTATTGCAGTGTACACGTGCATTTGATCACATGTAAGTAGTCTGCCGTAAGATAGCACTGTCCCTGGTATTACTGTTCCTGACAGTACTATCTTACAGCCATATTATATTACAAATAATACTAGCACACGTGTAGGCTATGATGCTTTATTGCAAAGCTAATTAATCCACTCCACAGTAAAGCACACATGTAGATGTACCCACCAAGTGGCAGTCATCCTAGGTTGCATTACTAGCAAAAATGTTGTCCTAGGTGTATAAAGATCCAGAACTCGGACAATTTTACTAGCAAAAATTTAAGCAGCTATGGGCTTTAGGCACCTGAGAGCACAGGCTAGGTTTTTAAGAACCATGCTATTGGATTTAGGCACCTAAGTCATTTTGTTGATCTGGGCACCTTGTGGATCAGTGTGTCCCATGATAAAATTAACTGGGGAAAGATTTATTTTGCTTTATTCTAGAATTTCTTTAGCTTTATTCCTTGTAATTAAGGACTTCGGATGTCAAAACCACCATTCAGCTCCTAAGTATATACACTTATCCACCTATCACACCCACCTGTCTCTGTAACAACAAACTTTTCTTGATTTAACTTGTTTTAGCTATTATTCAGGAAAGAATCTACATTCAGAAGAGTATTTAAACATTTACATAGTTATGGACTTAAGTAGGCTTCATTCAGTACTTTGCTGAATCAGGATCTCAGGCTCAGTTCTGCAAACACTAAAGTACATGCAGGAGTTACAAAGTATTTTCAGGATGAGGATTCTGTATTCTACTGGCAGAAAGAAATGTAATCTTATTTCCCAGTCTCTCTCTCTCTCTTTTTTTTTTTTTTTTTAATATATAGGCATCATTTTCTATTAAGATTTCAACTGTGCCAGCAAAGAACATCACCTTTAGACACTTGATTTTTCAATTGTCTATTGACCACAAACATTTTCACTAATTCACCAAACCTGCTGCACTTACTAAGTCATGTTTCCAAGTGAAGTCTCATAGTCTTTAATCTTTGAGCATGATTGTGTTTGGCATAACAGGTATAGGATTCAGGAGTCCCAGAGAAATTAGTATTTGATAGATCTGGCATATTTCATAGGGTGGTTTTGTTTTTGTTTTTTTGTTTTTAACTACTCCAAAATGCACCTGCATTAAACTAATGTCCTGATTCAACACATTCTGCTTGCATTGCATCATAAGATGATGCAACTTCCTGCTATCATGACAAGTTTGTCCCATTACACAAGCATAGACAGGTGACACCCTGTTTTGATAAACTTGAACAAGAGGCTTGGAAATATAATATGCACACTTAATTTTTTTTAAAATTCCTTAATTGAGAAAGTGCCCCTTTAACATTTCTTTTTTCTACCAATTGTCATTAAAATCGAATATTTAAGAAACATGCATTTCTTTACTTTCTTTATGCTGGCTGTCTTGCATTTTGCATATTTCCTTGCTTAAACAATTAAAATATGCTAAGTTCCCCTTGTGTTTATAGTCACATTCACTTTCTGGTTTTAAAGCTAGTGTTTGGGTTGACAGGAAATATTTGTTTAAAAAAATTACACACACACAATCTTAAAAAGTCATGGAAGTATTTTGTGGAGATTTTTTTTTTTAGGTTCTGTGAGAGCTTATTTTCAAAAACTAAAATTTTAGAGTAAACTTGACTTTCCTTACCCCCTTTTAAAATGTTTAGAATCAAAAGTTCTTTCAAAGACCATCCTTGTGCAAAATGTTTTTAAAAGTCTCACAGTTCTGGACACATTTAGAAAACAGATGATCAAATTATATACTTCTAAATGTTGGTCTCCATTCTCAGTTTGAGTGGAAACGCTCTTTGTTTTGCCTACTACAGGACTTCTAGGTTCTCTTTCTACTAGCAAGGGAGGTTCTTAATCTAGATCGAAAATGTGAATCGGCATAATTAAACTTTACCACTCGAAGTGTTCAGTAGCATTTTACTCCTGAAATGACTCTACCCGCCTACAACCGTTTTTCAAGGTTTTAGAAAAAAACAGATCTTTTGTTTTGTATTATATCTACCTCCAACTGCAGTTAGGAGAGCCAGAACTGAGAGTAGACTGCTAGCTGTTCAGAGATTTGTAAAAAGAAGCCTCAAATTAAATTAAGTGGAGTGGCTTCAGATGTGTTCTTTCTTGAGCACTTTAATACAACTTTAAAGTAATGAAGATTTTATGTTCCTCTATGCCCTTCACTATGACTTGGGCCAATATCTGCTAATATAAGACAGAAGTCCTTTCATTGACTGCAATAGGATCATACTCTGAGAGAGGAGCATTGTTTGATTCAGTTCAGTTAATGATATATTCATGTGCTTGTTTGATGTGACCTATACACTTTCTGTCTTATTCCAGAAATATATGTCACTTTGTTAATGGTATATATCCTTTTAATCCAACCTTTCCAATCCAATCACTATTTCCCAGATAGTTTTAAGATAAATTTAAAATACTAATCAAGTGAATTAGTAGAAGGGAAAGTGTTGAGACCCCAGAAGTGAATTGGCACTTGTTTAGCCTACCAAGGGGGCATGTTGGACTATTGTACCAAGGAAGTTATATTCCATATGTAATTTGTTTCAGCAAATATAGCACATACTGTGATGAAACGAAACAGTTAGGGTGGTGTAAGGTAAGACAGAAAGGAAGGCAAGGTAACACCTTAAAGATTAATGGTTCAGAGAAGTTAGAAAAGAGAAGTACATCTCTGAACCAGTTAGTAGATGCCGCCCTGCCCTGCCTTCTGCCTGGCTTCATTCTAACAGGGTTAACTACCTTACTCTGATCACAGTAAGAGTAGTCCTTCATCTAAGATAGTCTGGGTTTCTGTGTCACTTATCCAGCAGAGTTTTCTCTCCTTCTTCCTCTGTCTTTTTTTTTCTTTATAAAACAAAAGTGACAATTTGAACTTCCTGCTTAACAGACCCCACTGAAAGACTGAGATGGGCCGATAAGATGATTTTTTTTGTTGTTGTTTGGTAGTTTCACAATCTACTCTTCCCCACCAGCTTTCCATACCCCTTGATCAGTGTCTTTTCTGATAGTGTCATTCTGATCGTTTGCTTTGGGCTGCTGGCTCAGTGAGGAGCAGCTGATAAGAAGACTAAGATAACTACGATGACTCAGTTCTAAAACTCTACCAGAGAATTGTAGAATTCTTAAGTCTAGCAGGCTAATATACTAAGATCAAGAACTAGTGGGAATCAAGTGGGAAGTTGTATAATTTATTATTAGTCCATGAAAATAGGCAAAAATTAAATTAAAAAGTATTTTTCTCTGCCTGATGGCATGATTTTTATTTTGATGTGGTTTATAGTATCTTAAAGGGATAAGACAGAATCTTAGCTGCCAACGGCTTTAAGCTGTCTCCCAGAACAGATGGCTAAAGACCACAGGAAAATTTCATGCTATTATGAAAATGATTGGGAGACGAATATCCCCACACAACAGACTATTTTTGGGCTCTCACTGAAGATCCACTAAGTCTTAAACAACTACAAGACTCTTAATTTCACTTTACAGGGTGAGGTGTTACATTTTATTTTTATTCTTTTTTGAGAGAATAGTGAGGACTTCAGCAACTAAACCTCAGTGTCTAGAGAAGCAATGTGGAAGAAAGCTGACTGTTTGAAAAGTACTCCTTGTACTTACATGTGCTTACTATGTGATAACCCCTATATTCTAAGCACCAAATACTTTCATTCGATATCTTTATGCTTTTAAAAAAAATTCAGATGTAAAATTGCTCATTGCAACTGTCATTGAAAAAAGCCCACATGCCTGCTGCTGCTTCACTTTTTTTTCCTTAGGATGCCACTGTGCAAATGAATTGTCCAACTAGAAGAGTATGTTTAAAATCTGCTGATATTTTAAATAAAGGGTCATGTCTCTGCCTTATAGGGAACTGTCATATTATAGATTCACTGATGATAGTATAGTTTTCAATGAAAGGAGCATACTTATTAGCCCTTAATAGCATGTTTACAGGATTTAGGTGATTCATCAAAAATAAGTAGTTTTTGTTTGGTTGGTTTTTTTTCTCCCTGATACAAATAAAGAAACAAGCATAGTCCTAGGGCTAGAAATTCTGAGGGAAAAGACTTCAGTATCATCAAACACCACCTTTTCATTACTATCAATTGAAAGCTTCTGATCAACTCATATACACAGGGTGTGTCTACACATGTGTTTACTCCAGCCTAGATTTACTGTGCAGTTAGCTACTGAACAGTAAGGATTTTTAGGTAGGTGTCTACACATGCAGGAATTAGGGAGAAGATCTGCTCCCAGGTCCCTGCAGCTGTGCAAGTGGCCCCTCCTGTCACTGGGGGAGCTCCAGGCAGGGAGCAGCAGACCAGGAGACAATTGTCTCCTGGCCCCTGGGGGCTGCCTGCTGCTGGCATGAGGCCAATGTCCTTCTGCCCCAGCAGCAGGGAACTCCTAGCCCTGGCTCTCTGATCGGGGCATGGGGCTCGGAAGGATCTTCAGGGGTGTGGCAGGTCCCAGCTCCCTGCCCTAATCCGTCAGTGGGACAGCTAGCAGCTAGCCAGCTGGTAGCTGCCCCACCAGTGGATCAGGGCAGGGGACTGGAACCTACCCCACCCCTGCAGCTCTTTCCAAGTCCTGTGCCTTAATCACCTGATCAGGACATGGGGCTGGAACCTGCCCCTGACTGGGACAGTTCCTGGCCAGCCCCAGGCTGCGCAGAGAAGTCTGTGTAGCTTGGCGCTGGCTGGCTGGGGACTGCCTGAAACAAGACAGTTCCCAGCCACCTCCAGGCTACTCTGCTTCCCCGCACAGCCTGGGACTGCAGTTGCAATCGCACAGTGGGGGCTGGGAACAAGCTCTCAGCCCCTGCTCTGCAATCAGGAAGTGGGGGCTGGAAGCTCCCTGTTGCCAGGCTAGGGGGGCATTGTCTCCACCTGATCTCCTAAAATGAAATCAAAATTCTCCTTTTCCTAAGGTCCTTTTATGTGGTAATTAGTATATTGTGTATGTCTGGATTAAAAAAAAAAAGTGAAATTAATTATAACAGCCTAAAATGCCCAATCTGAACACACTTGGAGATACTGGTTTTGAAATGCGGATTTTTTTTTTGGGGGGGGGGGGGGGGGTAAGCTAGAGTCAAACAGTCTTGTCTTTCTTAGTCTTACCTCAGTGTAATGGTCTTTATACCATACAGCTGTAAGCAGAGGAGTCTTGTGCATACTGAATACCACAGAAAATCTGCACTAAATAGCTGGCTTTGTTGTAGATGTTACCAAGCAGTATGTTTAATGAGTAATGATCTGTTTACTGATGGAGAATACCTTCTTTTTTGAAGAAAGCTTTCATCCTAGCCAGGCATGTTTTCTTTAGTACTGTATGTAATTGAACTGGCTAGTGAAGTGCCTGTTGTGGTTTGGCAAAGGTTGATTTGTCATGCCTTGTTATTCCGGAGAGGAGCGTTTTGGAAAGCTTGAGCTCTCCAAAGTCTTTCCCTTTAAGCTGCATTGTTAACAAATGCTACTTTATCCTAGTTATTAGAAATCTAATTTATGTAGGTAATTGACAGTGGATCTTGTTAAATTCAAAGGGGTGGAAGGAGTGCAAAGTGTGGAGACTGACACTCTTGGAATGAATCATCATTAAACACCTCAAGCTCTGTGTGTACTCACTTGTCTCTCTTAGATTAACCATGTATATTTGATCTGCTTTTTATGAAATATTTACACCCAAAAGTACTTTTATCTAAAGAAGAAACTTACTTTTTGGATGAGTTACAAGATTGCATATTGACAAGAACATTCACCTTATGGTGAAGCTTGTAGAAGTTAGATTGTACTTAAATTTTATATTGGCTTATTACATAATTGCTGCCTTTTCTTTGTATTTCAGCACAAGGCCACAATAACCCAAAGCAGCAAAGCACTGATAAAGATGAACTTTATCAGAAAAGCATCCCAAAGAAAGAGCACAGTGTGAAAGAAATCCTGAAAACTGAATCCAACCCTTCAAAAGGAAAGGATTTATTCCAGACCAACATTTCACCGATTACTCCAGAAAAAAACTTGGATGATTTAAGAAAAAACTGTAGCCCTGAAAGGTGTTTTTTCCCACGGGTTATCTATCCAATCCGACCTCACATGCCAGAAGACTATTTGAAAGCTTCCCTAGCTTATGGGATGGAAAGACCCAACTATATTACACAGTCTCCCATCCAGTCTTCTACCACACCAAGTCCTTCAGCAAGGAGCAGCCCTGACCAAAGTTTAAAAAGCTCAAGCCCTCACAGCAGTCCAGGGGTTACTGTTTCACCTCTGGCACCTACTTCTCAAGAACACAGAGAATCTTACCCTTACTTGAATGGACCCTATGGCTCAGAAGGATTGGGGTCTTATCCTGGATATGCACCCCCTAGCCATCTCTCTCCAGCCTTTTTATCCTCCTATAATTCCCACTATCCAAAATTCCTGTTACCTCCATACAGTATGAGCTGTAATAACCTGAGCGCTTTGAACAATATCAATGGCATCAACAATTTCAATCTCTTCCCAAGGATATATCCTCTCTATGGCAACATACTGGGTGGAGGCAGCCTGTCCCATCATGTGCTAAACCCTGCTGCTCTTCCAGGTTCACTGCCATCTGAAGGAAGCCGTAGATTGCTACAACCTGATCATCCAAGAGACTTTCTCATACCAGCACCTAACAGTGCCTTTTCCATCACGGGCGCTGCTGCCAGCATGAAAGACAAACCATGCAGCCCCACAAGTGGGTCCCCTCAAGCTGGCACAGCAGCTACTTCAGAGCATATAATGCAACCTAAACCTACCTCAGCAGTGTTGGCTGCCACCAGCAGTGAAGAAGCCATGAATCTCATTAAAAGTAAGAGGAACGTGACCGGTTACAAAACCCTTCCATATCCACTGAAGAAGCAGAATGGGAAGATCAAATATGAATGCAATGTTTGCTCTAAAACCTTTGGCCAGCTCTCAAATCTGAAGGTAGGTATTAAAGGATTGGCCTAATTATGAGAGACACATCTATTTCATAATTGTTACTATGAGAAAGCTCATATTGGTTCTGTAGTTTTATCTGGGAACCCTAGGCTTCTCTAAGGAACAGATTTTAGAAAGCCACTACCACCAAGGTACAGTAGTAGTAAAAGTGATAGTTTTAATGCTGAAGTTGCCTTGCAAAATAACTGGATGATTCCCTGTAACATTCTAGTCTATTAGATGCTTCTGGTAACTTTTTTGCAACTGTTCAAGGCTTTTAATGACTATAGGAATTTTCAATAAATATTTGTTTTGCAACAGGTCCACCTGAGAGTGCACAGTGGTGAGAGGCCTTTCAAGTGTCAGACTTGCAACAAAGGGTTTACCCAACTGGCTCACCTCCAGAAGCACTATCTGGTGCACACAGGCGAGAAGCCCCATGAGTGCCAGGTATGTAGCACTTCATACACTGGGAGGTCATATGCTGTGCTGCTTCTTTGTTACACCATCTGGCAGGTGCAACTTTGTGACAGACTTCAGCCCTGATGTTATTCAATATAATTTAAAAAATAATCTGAGAATGTTTGTTTTTTAGCTTTTTAAATGTGAAAGTGTACGAAGGTAATGATGGGTGGCTGTTTCAACGTGCCATAATGTCCTCTGTGATTTTAAAAGTAAGACTCTCACGCTCATTCCTCATTTCTTCTTGTCATCTCCAAAATTAGGTTTGCCATAAGCGATTCAGCAGCACCAGCAACCTAAAGACCCATCTTCGGCTCCACTCTGGAGAAAAGCCTTACCAGTGCAAGTTGTGCCCTGCTAAATTCACCCAGTTTGTGCATCTGAAGCTGCACAAGCGTCTCCACACCAGGGAACGTCCACACAAGTGTGTCCACTGTCATAAGAGCTACATTCACCTCTGCAGCCTCAAAGTCCACCTGAAGGGCAACTGCCCAGTAGCCCCTGCCTCCAGCCTCTCAATGGAGGATCTAAATCGTATCAATGAAGAGATCGAGAAGTTTGACATCAGTGACAATGCTGACAAGCTGGAAGATATGGAGGACAATATCGACATGACATCAGTTGTGGAAAAAGAAATATTGACCATGCTCAGAAGAGAAATAGAAGGAGCTAATCTTAAAGTATCTTTGCAGAGGAACCTGGGAAATGGACTTATCTCCTCAGGATGCAACCTCTATGAATCTTCAGATATGTCCATTATGAAGTTGCCTCATGGTCATCCACTACCTCTGTTACCGATAAAGGTCAAGCAAGAAACAATTGAACCAATGGACCCTTAAGACTTTTTCTGGCAAAAAGTGATTTTTATTTATGACTTGGCAAGTCAGGGTGCCTGTAGCAATTGCTTGTACATAGTGTCAATGCTGCAAAGCAATCTTGGCTTACAGTAGTTTCCCTCACTCTCTCCAGTTGAAAGAAGGAACTCCAAAGTAACTATATTCTCAGGGCATGAAAAGAGGCAAAGGACTATGTATTGCCTCCCCAGTTACTAAAAGACAATCATCTATCCATAACTATTTTTTCAATTATAGTACTTCATAATTTATTATGCAATTTATCATTCTAAAAGCAATAATTAGAAAATGTTTACAATGACTGAAAAATTCATTGTAATTTTGAATATAAAAGTTTATATTTTGTTTCATGGCCATTCTTTGTAGATATTTTTTCTGCACATCTGTCTTAAAAATTTAAGATTGGGGATAAAAAGTTATTTCAGTAAGTTTGTCTATGTACCAATGTCTTCAAAAACATGGTTTTTATATTGCCAAAGGTGAATATTTGATGTATTGAGTCATAGATCAATTGGCTTGAAAAATGCTGTGTACATTCAGGAGTGGGTAGATGTACAAAATCCCCCAGAAAAGAAAAAGCAGCAGCAAGCAGAGAAAAGAAAATCATACTTACCTGTGTATGGGTACTAGAGATTCCTCAGCCCACAGCTCTACCCATAACACATGACATAGCGAATACCTGCCTAACATGAATGATGCAATGGTCAGGTGTTTGGAAAACAATAGTAGTCACATGTTATGTCATGAGATTTTATTATCCAAAGCCATGCATCAACTGAAAATGTGAAAAAGTGGCTGTGTTTTTTTTCAAAAGCCTCTTGAAACAAGCATACAATAATTCCAAATGTGCTGCCTACAAGGATTTTTTTTTATTTTATTTTTCCCCAGAACCTTCCAGGGATACAAAAGATGGTCAATTTCCCTGAGAAATAAGGGTTTGCTTTTTGGGTTTTTTTGTTTTTTCCATCCCACTTTGTCCATGGACAAAAGTGGGGAATGAAGTCCTTTCCTGGCACATACTTTTTTTTTTCCCCCTTCCTGTACGACTTAGATTTTCCTCAGTATTTGTGTTTGTACATTTTGTGGTTAATTTAATTAAAGATGAAAAGGGCATTGCAAAGTTGTTGAACAACAATTACCTCATTGCGTGTGTCCAGTGGTGCAGAAAATGTTGTTTTATCTAATGCTTTGCTACTTTAGAGAAGAAACCAAAATGTGCACAGGAAAAGATAGAATGCACGTCTTTTTATCTTTTTGTTCTGCTAAGCCCAAAGATATCATGTTGGCATTTGAGGTGTAGCAAAGAATACATGTATATTTATAGATATATTTATACCACTATACCATATATGTATATGTATATATATTTATACCACTTAAGTTGTGAGCCAAACCATGTAATAAAACCTATTTTTCATCTAAGTGTGAAAATCAAGTGTTATCCAGCTTTGCATATCACCTGATGACCTCAAAGCCAGAATGCTGTGCTAAGGCATTTGGCACTTGCTAGCACATGAGCACAGTTGATCACTTAGAGCCTGATCTTGCAAATCCTTATGTGAATAACTTTGCTGACATGTGCAGTCTCACAGAATTCAGTGGGATTTATTCACTTCAGAGCATTTGCAAGACTGTCTTGGATCCCTTGATATCCTTGCTATATGTCTTGTTATAAGCAAACCACCAGGAAAGAACTAGAAAAGAAATCAAACTATTACCCACCCATGGTATAAATATAATACGCAATGGTGAAGAGTGGAATGAAATAGTTAAAGTTATTTGGGATCATCCTAACATCTTATTTTGTTCTGCCACTTGAGTTACGTGGTCATAAGCAACTCTCAAGAAAGCAAATAGCATTATTATACACATCACCATTATATATATTCTAGCTTTTTATCTATTTATATTCTTTTAGATTTAAATAGACCACTTCATAAATCCAGGATTTTGTATGGCAATCTAATGCCTTCTGCCAAAAAGGAAACAAACCAACCCAAAAAACCTAAGATAATTGAATAGAATCTTTAAATACAATTTTTGAAGGACTACAGTTCATTACATTTCTGCTCCTATAAATCATGAAGCTGACAACTTTTAAGTGTAGCAATGGTTCACAAAAATAGTACTCACCTGTAGGATAAACCAAAGTATCACTACTCTGTCCCTGGACACACACTTTTCCTATTAATTGCCTGTAGTGCTTTCTTGTATTTGATACAAATTTCACAAAGATTTATATGCATCAGCTTTAAGAATTGTTACTTCTCTTTACCTTTTTTATCCTTTCCCTTAGAACTTTTTCATGTGAATGTAGCAACAATCAACAGTGTTTTATTTCTCTCTCTCTAAGAAAAACTTTGACCAAAGTTAACAGGCTTTTTACTTTGCTAGAACAACAAACTTATCTTATGTTTACGTACTGGTTTACATCGTTATTTATGTGCAAATTGTCAAAATGTAAATTAAATATAAGTGTTCGTTGCTTTACTAATGCTTCAGTTGTCTTCAATGTCTTACTCGTCTTCACATGCCACTTGGTGTCAGACTGGATTCCCACACTGAGCCACAAGCACATGGTATACCAACATCTATGACATTTTGAATAATGCCGACTTCTGCCTCTCCAGAAAGACTGATTTCTTCCCGTAATTCTGCACTGCCTATAACCATGCTAGGGTTAATATAATATTTTCTTAACTAGTTCACTCTCTCCATTTTTAGCCAATAATACCTTTCCTGTTAATATTTTTACAATTTCAAGTGCTTCAATGCTAACGTTTTTACAATATCTGCCTTTCGGAAATGTAAGTAGGGTTCTAATTTACATTTTTCCAAATACTCATCATTTCTGGCCTGAAACTGTAACCACCAGGACCACAATGACACAATCACAATGTTAGCATGAGACCACTTAATCCTGTATCAACATGATGGGAACTGCATTCAAAACAAATGTGGATTTGATGTGAATAATGAGCTAATTCTAGAAAAAGCTCAAACTCCCTTGGCCAAAAATGAATAATACATGGGGATGCTTCAGAGTTAATTCACTGTTTGCTACTTCCATCATCCTCCACCAGATTGAAAACAGAATAGGCCATGTGGCATCCTTTCCTACCTGAATGTTAAAGAAATAATGTTCCTTTTCATATTGAGACGCTCAACACTGTATGATGTTTTAAAAGTATTTCACTGTCCTCTTAAAATTCATTTAAACATCTGTCTCAAGAATTTGAAATACTGCCAACATAGAACTGTGGAGTTAAGAAAACCAGAGCACTGTTGTCATAAATGTGCCAAATGGTGCATGTTTTACTCCTATATTCTACAGAGGTATTGCTGTAATAATTTTTTTTTAAAATGTGGGATAACTCTTACTGCCATAAATCATAGTTCATTACTTGGCAAGGCATGACTTTGTGCTGGAGAGTTATGTCCTGGGGACACTTTAAGCTTTAGAAGATGTTTAATAAAACACATTACATAAAAAGACAATGTACCTTAGAGCTCGCAATTTCACTAGGCTGAACTCAGCAACTGCTGCATTTGTTTTTTGGCTGAAACTGAAGCTAGTTTGAAGTCAATATAGCACATGGTGCCCAGGATTACAACGTGCTTAGTGTATTTCTGGCCATGATAAGAGCTTAATTAATTTGGGGGATGGGGAGGGTGTACTAATTGTACAAAAAGCAAACTACATGGATAAAAAAACCCCCAAACTGTTCCTTTCTCTGCTTCATGAAGACCAATCCTGCCAGGTACTGAATGCTTCCTATCAAGATTCTAAGCACCTGCAATACCCCCCAGAACAAACAGCCACTTATTTATTACCGGTATACCTGGTCAGGTACAGGTTTGTCACAGGGATTATTTTTTAATTGAATATTGACTATTAGAGGAAATAATTATCTCTCTAAATTCCAATGTTTTGCCAGCTGACCTACAAGTCACAGGTCTCTTGGGACAAGAGGAATCTGTGTCTAAGATCAATCCAAGCAAAGCCTTTAAAATGGTTCTGCAATGACTAAATTGTAAAGCCCTATATCTTCTAGAGCCTAAGACAAATTAATTAATTCTTGACTGCTGGCAATTGCAGCCTAGTAGCCTGAAAAGAAAGAGTGACTCAGTGACTTATTAATGGGATAAAACCTTTCAGGTTTAATTTTCTATTTGAAGTCAATGGGGCACCATATGAATGCAGGATGCTGCTGGCAAGGAGTTAGTGTGGGATTAGGACCTACTGCTCAAGGTTGTCTAACAGCTTCTTCGTGGCATTACAACTAGAAAAAAAGTTCAGACTAGCATTAGAGGTAGCCATGAGACATTTGAAAAGTAGTGCATAGGATAAAGCCAGAATGGATTTGATAACGCTAAATTGTATCACTACAATTCTTAGAACTAAAACACAAAATAATGGATTAATGTTAGCACACCAAAATAATGCATCTAGAATATCAGAAGGGTTTTTTTGTAAGACAACATTAATTGTAAGAGACGCAAGAGGCAAGCAAAGACATACAACATAGGCTGAAGAGTGAGGCCTGGAAGAGAGACTAGCCTCCCTTCCCCCAAGATGGCCAATCTTCTCTAAGGAGTACAATTTTGTTTTAAGATTCAGCTGAAGACTGCGGGTATGCGGTCTACACTGGGGCAGCACTCCCAGCCGAGATGCTAAGGAGCAAGTTCCATCTTCCCACTTGCACTTGTATGCTCCAAACCCAGAAACACATCAGTGAGGTGATGCTAGGGTGTCCCTTTGCACCTGTTCTAAAGACCTTTTGAGAACAGGTTTCCAGCTTGCAGTCCCAAGGAACAAGCCCAGAGCTGCTTCACCAGTATGTTGCTGTGGGAAATCCTCTGTAACATCCAGGCTAGGACATGATGTTGCCATAGAGTAAACATACCCAGGCAGGCTGAAGGACCAGCAGCAACCAGACAGGTGTGTGGAAGAAAAAGCAAGGTTCTGGCAGGGAGCCCTGCACACACCCCTGCTCAAGAGACACATTAAAGCACTCACCTGGTTAGAGATTGGCATTGCAGTTGGTTAGAGATTTTGATGGCCATAGCAGGACCCAAGAGAGAAATGATGGTGGGGCTGGGAACATTTTAAAGAGTGGATAAATTTTGCAGCTGCTTCCAAGGAAAACCTTTGGGCTACAATTTAGATAAGTGCCATTTCCTTTTATTTGGCCACAGTTTTGACAAATTAATAAGAACCAGTGCACTAAAGAACCGCGAAGTCAGCAACACATGTCCAGAGGACCTGGCCTGGGAGGGTTTGGAATGCGCCCTGCACTTAGAGGTGATGGGCAGATTGGGAGAGATTATGACAGGAACTTCAGGCTGCAGGCTTGTTGGTGCACAGGAGCCGGACTACTTCTTCTCTTCCGGGCTGCTTAAAACGCTATGCTTTCCTAATGGATTGTTATAGCAGTAGAGCTTGTTGCCTTGAATTTCACATCACCAACCAACACACTTCCAAGTCATACAAAAACTGCATAGATCATACTTAAGCACTTGTTACCTCTGGGAAAGAGCATATTAGAGCATGTGTGTATGCATACGTGTGTTTGTGCACACATGTGCGCACATGCATGTGTTCATGTGCCCGTGTGTGTATGCATTTCTTTCAATAGTATCTTTTGTCAGAGGCTGTCAGGCTAGGACAGACATTGCATTTGTCCCTGGATAAGCTGTGCCTGTGTTTGTCACAGAACGAAAATATCCTGGCATAGGCACCGAGTCCATGGGTGCTCCAGGGCTCAAGCACCCACCAAAAAAATTAGTAGGTGCTCAGCACCCACGATCTACATCAGGCAAGCTGGGTTGAAGTAATGCGCTGCTACTTCTGGACATGTGTGGGGCTTGGCACGGGAATGCACCTCCCCCCCCCCCAAAAGTACCCACCAGCAAGAAACAAAGTTGGCGCCTATATATCCCAGGATCAGCATGTACACACATTGACCTAATTGTGGTTTAGTGAGCAGCTAAATGCACTGCCAGTTTTCTGGCATTGATTCAGTGATGCAATCCCAGGATAACTGCACAGACACACTTTGTGGTAGCCCAGAATAAAGTGTGACTATATTTTACCCAGGAAACTTTTTTAGGATGTATCCTGGGACACCAGACACAGATGCCTATAAAAATATACCTTGCCCCAAGATAAAATGATTTATGCCATGATAAATGCAACTTCTGTTTGCAGCCTCAGTAAGGTGTTTAGTAGAGTTGTGTGATTACAGTCTTTTATAGATAGGAAACTGAGCCAGCAAATCAGACCTAGGAAAGAATAGAAACTAAAGTGTCCTGTCTCTCAGCCCCACTCTAACCACACAGCCATGCCCTTTGTTTGTGCATCTCTAGCTACTAGTCAGAACATAGGCGTAAGCTTCATCTCTCCTGTTACCTGCTTATGGTAACAACACACCCAGCAAAATGGGAGGGGTGACACTGGATTT